CATCTGCTCCTGAAATCCTGAAGCTGAAATCTCCTCTTTTTTTTCTTCTTCAAACGTAAAAAGATTGTTGTTGCAAAAGCTTCGGACAGGTGACGAGTGAGATCCAGCCGCTGACCTCGCCATGGTGTTGCCACCCCCAGACAAACGCCACGTGTGCCTGACCACCATCGTCATTATGACCAGCATGGCCTTCATGGACGCCTACCTGGTGGAGCAAAACCAGGGTCCTAGAAAAATCGGTGTTTGTATAATAGTACTGGTGGGGGACGTCTGCTTTCTCATCGTGCTGCGATACGTGGCGGTGTGGGTGGGGGCGGAGGTACGCACCGCCCGACGAGGATACGCCATGATCTTGTGGTTTCTCTACATCTTTGTTCTGGAGATCAAGCTGTACTTTGTCTTTCAGAATTGCAAAGCCGACAGAAAAAGTCTGGAGACAGTAGCGCGGAAGGCTTTGACTTTACTGCTCTCGGTGTGTGTGCCGGGTTTGTACCTGGTTCTGGTGGCTCTGGACAGTATGGAATACGTAAGAACTTTCCGCAGGAAGGAGGACATGAGGAGCCGTCTCTTCTGGGTGGCTCTGGACCTCCTGGATCTGCTGGACATCCAGGCTAACCTGTGGGAGCCCCAGCGGACGGGGCTGCCCATCTGGGCCGAGGGCCTCATGTTCTTCTACTGCTACATCCTGCTCCTCATCCTGCCCTGCGTGTCCCTCAGTGAGATCAGCATGCAGGGGGAGAACATGACGCCCCAGAAGATGATGCTGTACCCGGTGCTGAGCCTGGTCACCATCAACGTGGTCACCATCCTCATACGTGGAGTCAACATGGTGCTGTTCCAGGACAGCCGCGTCTCCACCATCTTCGTTGGCAAAAACGTGGTGGCCATCGCCACCAAGGCCTCCACCTTCCTGGAGTACCGCAAACAGGTCAAAGAGTTCCCGCACCCGCAGAACGCCATGGCCATGGAGCTGCAGCAGAACTCGGTCAGCCACCCGCAGCCGCTGCCCAACGCCACCACGCTGCCCCACGAACCCACACCGGCGCAGGACGTCATCGACACATGACCGCCAGCTCCGGACGGTGCGCTGTCGGAGAGAGTGACTGCCTTTGTACGGAGGCTGCGGAAGTGGAGGTGGATAAAGAAATCAGCCGCATGACAGGACGGTATTCTGCTCTTGTCAAGCCCCGTGGAACTGCTGTGAAACCATTACAGAGATTTTTCAGCATCACCTGCCTGTCAGAACACACTGTAAACCTACACTTCGTCCAGTGCGGACCTCAAAAGAACCAAACTACAAAGACTGAAGTTTTTATCGTGCCATTGTGTTTTTAATTGTTTGAAAGGATTTCAGAATTAATTAAGAGACAATCTTCAACAAAAGCGCAGCCCGCTGACATTCTTCGGTGTAGGACTGGAGATCGTTTTCCCGACTCAGTGAATAAAAGCTTAAATTTTAGTTTTTTTTTTTTTTTTTGGTTTTGTTTTTCTGAGTCACCTTTTTCCACAGTGCTTTTCGAGGCGTTTCCTTTGAAGTCCAGCACCAAAGGAAACGTGTGAGGCACAGGTGGAGAGGAGAAGCAGAGAGTGACAGCAGTCAGTCAAGTGAGGCTATCAGGACGACCGACGGTGGCCAGATATTTTCGGTTTCTCCTCCTGTGTCTGGTTTCTCCTGAGGTGGAGGCTCGGCTGCATCTGTCAGTGTGATGCTTTACGACCCAGGGTCTGATTAAAGCACCAACCACAGCATCGACTGCAGGCGTCTGAGCGTGGGTTTTACTACACCGCGTGCGTGCGTGTGTGTGTGTGTGTTTCCTCTGGGGGTCTGCGTTATTATTGTTTCAGAAGATATGTGAGTCATAAAGTGTATGTGTGCCAGGTTTTGGCCAAATTGAGACAAAATGTGTTGATGTGCCGTCAGAAAATAACTGTGATGAGAGAAAAGGTCGTTTGTGTTCAATCCCTGTACTATACATTCCTCTAAAACTAGATCGAGCCTTGAAGTCGGAGAACGCAGTGAAGGCCTCACCGAGGAACTGACGAGGGAAAAATAAAGATTAAATGAAAGAGAAACAAACAGAAAAAAAGGAAAAAACACCATTTCAAGAAAAGTTGGTAGAACTTTTTAGATTTGTGATAAAAAGAGAAGTTTTCATCACCCTGACAATTTAATTGCTCAGAAATGTCCTGTCCTGAACATGAGCTTTTCAACCACTAGTAGTCACTGTTGTCCCATATTCTGATTTGCTCTCCTTTAAAAACACGTTTGCTCCTTTTACGAACAATAGGCAGACAAAATCTTTGGAAGGTTTTTCAGAGAGGGGAAAGCATTAAATTTCCTGAGATCCATCCACATGGTTGGTTCATGAAAACGCAAAAAAACTGAACTGTTCTTGTCAATAAACCAACCACATTTCGTGAACACTCCAACCAACTTTTCTGGAAATAGAGTTTGAACGTTTTTCTTCTGTTCATTTCTGATGTGAATCAGTTAACTACAGTAATTATTATTATTAATATTATTATCATTAATACAATTATGTACATTCTTTACATGTTGGAGGTCCATGACGTTTTAATAAAAGACTAGTAAAGCAAACGGAGCTTCTCTTTCCTCCACTGTTGATCGTGATTCAGTGCACCAACCAGGTGACAGCAGCACTGCCGCAGAGCCATCACTCTTGTAGACCCCACCGCGTTTTGCATGGAGGGACGCGCACGACACATAAATATTTAGGCCCAGCAGCCTCCTGGTGGACGTTAGTATTAGTGCGGTCCTCCTCAGGCTGCACATTAGCAGAGAGCCAGCTAAGGATTTGTCTTAAAATGAGATAAGACTGCGTCTCTGTCCCCTCCGTCTCATTATCACCTCCACCGTTCCCGCCGTTTCTAATCTGCCAGTCTAGTATCATATTCACGGCTCATGAATTGTCTTGATTTCTTCTCAGAGAATTTTATCAACTGACCCGAATGCTGCGGCATCAGGCGACAAGATCAGCCACGTGTCCAATGTCATTTTTCTAATTTAAGATTAAATATGATTGACTGTCTGACAGAGTCTGGATGAACTGACTGTGGATTTGATGAGTGTTTCCTGCAGCGTAACAGAGAGATATTTGACGTTTTCTTTGTAATGAAAATGCACTTTTTATATAAAAAATTATTCTGGAAAAAAAAATCACTGAACACCACCTACAAAGGCCTCTGAATAAAATATTACCTAAAATACCAGCCTCAGCTAAAAACCGTTATATACTTATACTGATGGAAAGTTAAAGGAGAAATACAGCTCTTAAAGATGAATCCACAAACAGATTAACAACAATTAAATAAGATGAAAGAATATGTTTCAGTGATCTTAAAAAAAATTCAACGATGATCCATAAATGGCTAAACATTAACCAAGAAACGTTAATTAATTAATTGTCTCATCTTCACAAGAAGAAACGTTAATTAATTAATTGTCTCAACGTCACAAGTTAGTGTTTTTTTCCTCACATATTTAAGAGAAAGAAACACATTTCTGAATCCTGACTTTTTCCATCTAAGTGCATTTTCAATAAACACTTCTTGTATTGTTTGTTTTTGTGTATTTTTTTGCTGTTATCTCATCTAACGGCTGTCAGAGCAGCATGAATCCAGGCCTCACAGCATCTGTTACAGCAGCCGTTCTCTATAGATACATATTGATTGTTTTTGCTGTTAAATATTTATCAAACGTTACATCCCCTGGTATATTCACTTTGGCTTTTTGTCATCTCCCACTTCAAGTTTGGCTCATCTACAAACCACAAAACTCAGAAGTACAAACAAAAGAAATGGATGAAAATAATATTAATGAAATCAACACTTATTATTATTATTATTATATCAAAGTTAGCTCACAAAGGGATGGGAGTTATTCAGCTAAACCACAAAAAAAGATAAAAATTGCCCCAAGAATAACAGTAAAAGGTAACTGTTAATATGTCTACACTGGCTTTAAATTAATAACACAAAAAATATCTTAAAAAATGAACTGTCACGGCAGCTGAAACATCTAAATATGAACTGGTTAAAAAAAAAGCTAATTATTAGTCCAAATATAATGTCAAATATGAATTTAAAAAAACCCTAGAATGTATTATTTAAAAACTCCTCTTATTGTATAACATTGAATATGTGACTTTTTTTTCACACAGCGCTGTGTGCTCATGTACACCTCTACAGAACATTAGCGTCATCAGATTAGCACGTTAGCACGTTAGCACGTGGCTGTTACAAACACGGCTGTGTTGACTTTTAGAGGTTACATCACATCCACTGTTAATTACATTGTAGTAAAAGTGAATTACACGTGTGGATGAAATATATGTGACGCAGACTGTAGCTGCTCGTCCTCGGTCCAATGAAAATGTCAACAATGTCACAGAGGCATTATGGGACGGTGCTCTGATTAAATGTAGGACACAGTCATTTTCATTAGTTTATCATAATTATGGGACAGTATTATGGGGGGGTGATTAGACACATGGTCCATAGTGGTGCATAATGCAGCCGCACCCCCCACTGGCCATAAAAGGTCAGCTTAATTGAATTTTGATTTGACGCAGTAGGATTCATTCCTAAGACCAGGTTTCACTGTAAAGGAGCCTGTCGTTAACAAAAGCCAGTGGGCAACTGTGATGCCCCCCCGCACACCGCCCCCCAGCCCCCCGTGGGGACATTTTTAGCTTTTGCATTCAAACTTTTGCTGAACTTTTATTGAATTGACTCCAGCTCAGAGTAAACTCCTGTTCCCTTTGAACAACAGCAGCACGATCAAGACCGCAGTTTCTCTGTTTGGTTACAAATAAGGAGTTGGTTTTTTTTTCTCTCCCCTGTATTGGCTCTGTGCCACCCCGGGGGGGGGCGCCTCCCACTTTGGCAATCACTACCCTAAACCCATGCATCTTATTCAATGCTTTTTGAGCAACAATACTGCCACCTATTGGGCCCTGATTCCAACCAGAAACATCTCAAACACTTGCAGAGGAAGAGGAGAGGAAGAGAAACTACAGGAAGAGGGCAAATTATGGCAGCTATGTTTGCTTTTAGTGGCAGATTAAAGGAGATTAAAGGAGATTAAATTTGTGTGATTTCATTTGTTCAGTATTATTGATGAGGAATCAACGTAAACCTGTAAATGCGTTCAGCTTTTCAACCCGACTACGACGTGTTTCAACACTGGACCAGTTGAAACCTGGTGTTTTATCGTTTTCATCCAGTCAGAGTCGTACCATCTGATCTGGCTGTTTTGTTGTGCTGCTCCTCTACTTCAGCCTCCTCCAGCTCTGCCTGGTTCAAACTATGCCCCGTGGCATGTTTGCTCCAAACCCAGCGTGACCTAAATAGTCCTGTGTGGTAAACACAACCACAATTTTCTCTTTCCTCTCCGTTTCCTTTCAACTCTGACCAACGGTGCACTAAAAGCCCTCTCCCTGTTCACATGGATTAAAACAACACGTGGCTGCACCTTTATCTTCACCACCAGGTGGCTTTTGAGCAAACATTTAAAGACTGTGGTTTCTGACCTGTCACACTTCAGAGAGGTACATTTTTAATAGTGGGTTTAAACCACTATTAAAAACTGGATTTTAATAGTGGGTTTAAACCAAAAACTGCAAGAATGAACGGTTTATAAAATGCATTTTAACATTTTAGGTTTGAACTTGAGCCCAGTTCATATTTTGTGCTGTGTTTTAAATGTATTTACTTATCTACTGTTGTTTTCTTTGCCGCAAATGCATTTTTTTTAGCTAAATGTAAATGATTTCTGGCCCACTTTTTGTTACACTCACTGATTTGACGTATCAATTTGTGCTAAGCTCTGACCAAAAGTGTTTACGAAGCTGGAACAGTTTTTCATAATCTAACTTTTTTTCCTTTTTGACAAAACTTTCTGTAAGTCGGAGCGACCTCTAGTTCAGCTAACTCTTTTGGCTAACTTTTAGCACCTTGTAGTCCAACCTTTAGTCTGAACACTGCTCTATTTGTGGTAGCAGTTTTAGATATAATTTACAATAAAATGACATTCTGTAAATCACTCATCTGAGGGAAAAGAAAAAGATAAAATGATCTGGTCACCTGACAACTTTTATTATCACACTCCGTACTCAGAGCACAGCGGCAGCAGCAGTTAATCTTTGTTTGACACCGCGCTTCATTAAAAGTAGATTAAAAAATACATCTAATTACACAGCTCATACGCCACAGAGTGATTTGTTAAATACAAACAAGCGATGAGTCTAAATGTTAAAAAGGCAAAAGATTTATCTGTAGACTCGGGAGGATAATGTAGCAACGTGAGGTGACGGAGTGCCAGAGAATTTGGCAACGCCACAGAAACCGTCCTGGTCCGGTCTCCGCTGCACCTCATTAGTAAATCTATTTCTAATGGAGGCAAAACAGCCAATCAAGTCAAATCCAAATCCACTTCAACCAAATCTTTGCCACTGTTTCTTGGTGGACACCTTCAGCATAATCTGGCTCATGTTTGAATTTTTTTTTTGTTTTTTTTAGCACAAGTGGCCGTAGGTAGAAAAAAAAGTAAACTGCAAACTTGGGAGCAGAATCCATTACCTGTGGCTGCCTGGGCTCCGATCACCTCTCAGTGACCCCTGTGAGTGAGGAACCCATCCATAAAGCAGCAGCAGGCCCACACGTCCGGAATATAATTCTGCTCTGTTAATACATAATACATGCGGCGGTGAAAGCACTTTCCCTCCGTCCGCCTTTGAATTCACTGTTTATCTTTGCTTTTGTTAAGGAACCAGGATCCAGCAGGACCAGAGCGTTTTCCACCCCCCCATTTTAAGGACTCTCTTCTGACCACTTCTGGATATTTTGCTGACGTGCAGGAGTTTGTTCACTCACTTGTTTCAGTCGTTTCCTCCCGCTTGTTAGTAAATGTCTCTGTCCCCGCACCGTGATCACTTTGCTGACTAAACCGCACAGCCCTTCAACTGGTGTACACACCGTGTGCAGTAATCTATATGGTAATGGCCCTGGAACTGTGCGAGTCATAAAAACCTGTTGCCTGTTTACTGCCTGCTGACACAGAGGGAAGCAACGACGCCCCCATGTGCTGCAGTTAGATGGAACGCACGTACAGAAATAAAGCCGAGACCGAACGAAAAAATGCCGCCACAAAGTGGTTCAGTGGTTAGGGGTAAATATGCAAGTACATGTACTTCAGTGGTACTGGTACTTGGTTTGGTGGGTACACAAATGAAAACACGCTTACACAAAACGGTTTGGAAAAACGGATAACGATTCTTACATAATTATGCTAATATCAGGCTGATAATCTTGTTCATTGTCTGACAGCCCTAAAAAAAGGTACTGCGACAACCATAGTATTTCTATACTGTATGTACTGTAAGTTGGAAGTATTCAAAGTTGATAAAATGTGAATTTGAAGAAGATCATCTCAAACCTCAAACTCTTTTTTCCATAGAATTGAACTCCTGACCACTGTCTCAGTTCCAGCAGACTCAGCCATGAACTTTTCGTCCATCACTCTTCCCCTCTCTGCTGCTGACAGTGTTTTATTACTTCCAGACTCTACACCAATAAGATCCTCCGAGGCACATCTCCCACGCTGCCCAATAAACTCTGACATAACCAGACTCAACTCCTCGTCAGCCGGCTCACCTTGCTCCAAACGTGTGCTCCAAAACCTGGTCCACAGTCCATCTTCCTGACCTCCTGCACTTCTGCTCCTCTGACTCCGAGCTCCTCACTCCACCGCACTGGAAGAAGCAGAGACACAGTGGTGAGAGAGCATCTGGACCGTCCAAAAAAGTTCAACATCCAATTGTGTTGACTTTGGAGTGAAAAGTTCAACATCCAATTGTGTTGACTACAAGTTTGGAGGAATGAATCCAAACAAAGCAAGAATCAGCCAATAAATAGCAGGAAAAAACAGTAAGGTAACAGCCTCGAGAAATATGAAAAATATGCTGAAACTTTCCATAAAAATAAAGTCTGGTAACAAAACTCACCGTTTTAATATTAATGTTGTTGATGTTTGTCTCCTTCTTCTTTTTATCAAGTCTCTTTACGTCCGTCCTGTGGATAAAGGAGGATTTGTATAAGTTTGAATTACGGTTGGTCTGTTGTTCAGTTGGTTCTCTCTCAGCATCAGTGTCAGTGTTGGGCTGATTGTAAAGAGTAAGAAAAGAAAATACTACAATATAAAAGCAACCAGTTACCAGGGGAAGTGAGTTTCAGCAGCCATAACTGCACAGACAGGAACTCCCACAGAATACTGCACCTCAACAGACAGACACGTATTCAAGTATTTGTTTAAAAATAAATTTAAAGAATTGAACTTAATTTAGAATTTAACATCAGTTCAATCTGTTCCCTCTGCCGTGATTTTTTTTTCTTTTCCTGTAACAGTTAATCACACTTGGAAGTCATCGCTCTCTGTCAGTTGTCAGTGAGTCGGCTTCCCCGAGATGTTCTGGCTGTGAACTTGAGGGTCTACTGTTTCTACCAGACCGACGCCATCATGTTGAGATCAGAGCCCTGTGGGGGCCACGTCATCTGGAACAGAATGTTTGGTTCGTGTTGCTGTTGTTTTATACACTTCTTTTTTTGGATACTTGTCAAACCTGGGAGCAGTCAGAAAACATCCTCGAACAAACCCAAACCCAAGAACACTTCAACCATCCTCCGTGCTGAGATCAAACACCTCCAAGGAGGTCTTCTAATGAAGTTCTCTTTTCCCACGAAAACGAGGCGTCTGAGTCACCTTTGCAATTTTAACCCAAAATTAGATTCATCTCTGAGACAAACTCTGTATTTATGGCCACAAAAGATGCAAAAGAACAACAAACCTAATGTGACTCTGATGTTTTCAGGTAACGATGAATGTGTGCAGCACTAAACCAGCTCTGGAAATAAACTCTAACCTTGATTAAATGACTCGGAGCCTCAGCTTTAGCTATTTTTTCCCCCCAATCTCTAATCTGTCCTCACGTCCCCAGCCTCCTGCACCAGGACCGACTGTTTAATATTCACACAGATAAGACACTATTGTGTCGCCGCTGGTGAACTGTACAGGAGGTGCAGGATGGATTAATCACCAAAGCACAATGCACAGGAGCACAGATAGGGGGAGTCATAAACAGATAAGAACCAAACCAAAGCCAGGGAGTCATGTGGTTCAAAAGCCCTGATATTGATTGGCTGGGAAAAAAAGAAAAACAAGAAAAAAACAGCTGACTGTCCTCCAGTGAACAACTTCATTTCCACGCTATCTTAAAAGTGTCTTCATTATCGTCCGGGTTGATAAAACGGAAAGGAGGGAAAACGAGGGAAGAGGAAAAAGTCAGAGACTGAATCTCACAACACTGATAATGTCAGCGTCCTCGTTACGCTGCCGTTTATTTTAATTTTTATCGGGTTACAACGTTTGTACAGGGTTTAAATACCAGAGAAAGGTCACATGGTGGCGGTGATAGTGCACAAAAGCAACGTAGCACTTAAAGAGTCTGGGCTGTGAGTTAAATGGACTGAGGCCGGTGGAGTATTACTGCAGGGACCGCTGGGGGAAAGTGAGACAGATTAAAAAAGAGCACGTGGGTGACAGTGGTAAGAACAACAATAAAGCTGAAAGGACTGTGCACTTAATGCACTGTGGAACTCTATGTTTCCAAGTCATACAGTTCTTTGGCAGGTGCAGGTTCAGAGAGGGACTTATATGTGAATAAGGTACTACGAAGGACGTGTACTTCAAGCTGAGGGTACACATGAAAACACGAGGCAAGTGAGTGTATCTTACAATTACTATTTGGCAATAAAAAGTCAAGTCACCATGCATTCTCCATAAGCCATCGGGGCTCAAACAGCTGACGCTTTCACTGTAAGGCAAGAGCACATATCCGCTCTGTTAAATTCAGTTTTGTTAAACCACTTTGAATCCAGTCCCAATAAAAGTCAATAAGTAAAAAACAAACTTTATTATTTATTATTTTGCCTTCTTGCATTTCGCTGTCCCTGCTGTAGCTCCCTGCCCCTCATTTTGAGCACCACTGCTCTCTCATTTTTAAGGCTAAGTGGCAATAGGCTTAACAACAAGCAACTGTGATGCAGTCACAGCAATGCTAACAAAGTATAATGTCCCTGTCAACAGACGCCTTTCTCCAGTGTAAACAGTTCACAGCGAGTCGTGTGAATTATTCAGCGTAGCTCAGTCGCTGCATCCACTGGTTTTTTTTCTCACTGAATCAGCCTGATGGCAGAATCTCACCTCAAATCTAAACACTGAAAGCAGAAGGGAGAGGACTCAAGCTGTGTGATTTTTAAATAAACCAAAGGGAACTCAGCCGAATCTGTTAAATATAGAGGATACCGAGCAGAGACGGGGGGGCCGGGGAGGGGTCCCAAACCAAAACACTGCCTTCCACAGTGAGGGACTGCAGCAGCCCCACACCCTTCACCGTTCACCGCCGCAGAACTAACTCAGAAACACTGGAAAAGCACAAACAAGAAGAAGAACGTCGTTCCAAACCAGAGCTGCAGGGGCGTTAGTGAACATGAACAACTTTTTGAAGCACAGATCAGCACAGATCTGTGCGGCTGCTGCTAACACTGCTGCTGCTGCTGTTACTGCTGCTACTGTTACTGTTACTGCTGCTGCTGCTGATAACACTGCTGCTGCTGCTGTTACTGCTGCTACTGTTACTGTTACTGCTGCTGCTGCTGTTACTGCTGCTGCTGCTGTTACTGCTGCTGCTGCTGTTACTGCTGCTACTGTTACTGTTACTGCTGCTGCTGCTGTTACTGCTGCTGCTGCTACCACTGCTGCTGCTGCTGTTACTGCTGCTACTGTTACTGTTACTGCTGCTGCTGCTACCACTGCTGCTGCTGCTGATAACACTGCTGCTGCTGCTGCTGTGGTGGTGGCCAGGATGTGTGGGCCCCATCTCTGCAAATGTAAAACAACGCAAAGGAGTAGGAGAGTTAAGCCGGCGTTCACGGTAAGACATGCAGTAGCTGCCCAAATGGCCTTGTTAGGGGGCCGGGTGGGAACTCATCAGTGCAGAAGATCAGGGCTGACAGAGGAGCTTGTTAACCGCAGCACAGTGGCCAAGAGACGAGCTCATTAGGGAGAGGAACCAGTGACCGGCCGAGCCCCGCTGTTCACACCAGATGGCCAGCAGCCTGCTGCTACATGACACACATCTCATCTTTTTCAACAATTTATACTCAGTGTGACTTTTAACATTAAACCATATCATTAAAAATCAACCATGTCTGACTTTGCCAAAAAAAAAATCAAGCTCTAAGTGTTATTTCCAAGAGTTTCACCTACTTTATATAACACTGGTGCATTTTCACTTCAACCTTACCTGAAACCAAGTTTGTCCCTCACACTTCTCAATCATGTTACAACAGTGCCCCCTGCTGGTTTCTAACGAAAGCAAAGTAAGGGAGGTAAGGGTGGCTGTAAGTGCAGCACTCTCCAATCTGATTGGTTTTTTTTCCCAATAATAATATTTTCCCAAAGAAGAAATTTTTTTTCAAACAGTAGGTGATTAAAAGTACTGTTCTAAGATATTACTTCATACTTCAGAATAATCACCATAGCGATTCGACCTGTAAACCAACCTTTCAACCAACCTGTCAACCAACCTTTCAACCAACCTGTCAACCAACCTTTCAACCACCCTGTCAACCAACCTGTCAACCAACCTTTCAACCAACCTGTCAACCATTCGAGCTAAGATGAAACCCAACACTGATATATTACAGGAATATAGAAAATTCACACAGCTCTTCAATGGCTCTTTTTTGTTGTTGTTTCCATAGCTATCTGCTGCTACCTAGTGGATGAGTTTGTAATTGTTCTGCCTGACACTGGTAAACTGCACACTAATGTACCACAGCACAGTGGTATTTTAATGCCACAATCTGTGCTTTTTTCAGCTCTGTGTCCAAGTGGGCAGGTCTGAAAGGCAGAACAAGACAAGAAGTTAAGTAGTTCATTTTATAAACAGCAAAGTCAGGGATGTAAATCACTAGGAAGACTGTGGTAAACAGTCTTTACTAGATCTTTCAGATTAATAGTTCATTTTTCTGTAAATGGGATTTGTAGCTTTAAAAAGGTATGAAGCACAGAAAGAACTAAAAGAGCGTATTTTTCTGCAGTTCTGACGTTGCCAGACTTCTGGGGGTTGTTAAATTCACCCTGGTAAACGCAGCATCCTTTTCTCCTGAAGTTGATTTAAAGTGGGACCACAAATCACATTATCAACGCCTTTGGGTCTTCAAATCTCCTCGGCTTTGTAAAAAAAAACGGCGTGAAAAGTCACAGATAAATCTCCAAGTATCAAAAAGTAAGAGGACAGATTTACAGGAAAAAAAATCTCCTTGTGACTGACGTGTAGTTTTATGGCATTTTGAGATGGCCGCATCAATCTGTCAGTAGTTTACTGCTGCAAATGTTTGATAAAGTCAGACTTTACTACCTGGAGGATTTAGTCCAGAGGTTTCCTAAACAAGTCTCCTGAAAGTCAAGGTAAATCCATAACACCGCCAGCTGATTTATGAGTTCAAAGAGGAGCGCCGGGAATTATACATCAATTATGTAGAGCTTAGAAGAGTTCAAAGAGGAGCGCCGGGAATTATGTATCATTTATCATTTTTCACTTTTTTTTTGCCCCCTACTGTTTTTTTTTGTTTTTTTTTTTACTTTTAGTATGAATGCTACATTTTTTCTGCAGTGCCTCCATTTGGCTGAAAAGGTTATTGCAAAGACTTTACTCAAATACATTTAAAAAAATAAAACTACCCAACAGGCAAAGCCACACCTAACTTTTATTTTTTTTGCCCCCTACTGGGCTGGGAGTGCACGTCAGTGTCTTAGAGAGAAAACAGAGAAAGGTTTGATTAAATGCATTGACTTATGGGTTGTTTATCTGTCTATCAAATAACTAAATCAAGTCCAAACTCTGTTTTTAATGTCCACGTCTTTCACCAACAGTCCAAAAACTGAAGAGACAAATTTAGAGGAGTTCGTTTTGCCATTTTAATTTATTTTTTTTCTTCACATTATTGCTTTACAGTAAAATGCATTGGTTGGATATGTCCAGTATAGCAAGACAATACATTCATATAAGTTATACAGTAATGTTTTCTTTTATAGTAACTAACTTTACATTAAATATATTTATAATCATTTATTATTCTCCACAAACAACTCCCACATCACATTGAGCTCACAGTGCATCAGGTCGCATTCGGTCAAAGAAATACACACCGCTTCCCTCGTGTGTTTATTTGCAATTCCTCTCAGAATGTGTGCCAGTGTGTGTCTAAAGTGTGCGCTTGTTTTGTACACCACTTCCATACAATCTAGATTTATGTAGAGCTACGACACCTATGGCGTCAGAAATCATATTTATTTTTCCCCCTGCGTTTCAAAACAAATGACTTGGTAACAAGAGAAGTGAGTCAGACGAGCTGTGACAACCAGACGCCGAGGGGAAAACAAACCAAAACAAAAAAAAAAATCAAAGAATAGCAGTGTGTGTGTCCCCCCCACCCCCCCACCCAACCTGCCATGCTGTGGTTCTACTGCTCCAATCTTTCAACTGGGACATGACCACACAGAGCAACAACAGCAAAGAAAACTCAACACTGCACATTCTAAACATAAATAAAGTAGCAAAGGGACTTTCCTGAAAAAGCATCAAATAAATGTGCAGATGATCCACAAGTAACGGGTGAGGAGGGTCAGTGGGGGACAAGGATGTCCCTGTGACATCACCTCCAGCCATTTGAACACAAGAGTGAGAATTCCTGATGGTCCACTCTCACTCTGGTCCAAGGAAAAGTGACGGTGCACAGATCCCAGGAGGAAAAGTCCGTCCATCCGTCTGCATGACTTTGTTTTCTTATAGCTGTTGTTGGGGAGAAGGTAATGCCCGTGTGCAGGAGGGGACGACGAAATGTCGTGTGCGTGCGAAGGAAGTGAAATCTCAAACTTCCGAACCGTTGGCTTGTTTTCTCAGCGGAGAAACGTACACAAATCTGTGAGCTCACACATCAAAGAACAACTAGACAAACTGACGTCACGTCTTCACTGGGACGTCCCCGTCTCTATATGGCAGCCGTACAGGGGGCCTCCGGTCACATTGATTCTTTACATACAGATTGCATATACAAGTGCCTGCTGCCAGCAGTGTTGGCAGAGGGAGGAAATAAACACATCAACCACAGCCACGCCCACCTCCACGCTCGAGGTCTCAAGTCTCTGCACCTCGTTTGTGAACTGGTGTCACACAATGTCAGGTTTGCTCTGTAGCACGTAGCTGCCAAGTTTTGTAAAACTGGAGTCAGGTGTTGGTTTGGTTTTTTTTTCGTTTGTTTTTTAATCCATGAGGAGGCCCAGACACCATCAGTCTTTCACTGTGCTGTGGAGGAGCCGTGTTTTTGTAATGTCCCAGCATGCACTGCAGCCAGAGGCAGATGTGCTCATGGTGGTAAGAAGGCATCGGTTGGTTTGAGGGTAGAGGGAGAGAGAGGGAGAGAGAGAGAGAGAGAGAGCCCCGCTGTGTAGAATGTAGCCCGTAGTGAACTCACACACACATACACACACACATCAACAGTCAAGCGCATGTACAAATTGTCAGACACACACAAACGTATACAGTGAAAACACACACACATACACACACAGAAGGAAGCACTAGTTGATTCTGAATGAGAGGATGGCTGTTTAAAGTGCAATATCTACATTTAACTCAGAAAAAAAAACAAAAAAATCAAAAGACCATCACCAGCGCCACCTCCTGGAAATGTCCATATCCAAGTTTCCCTGATAACCGACAGCTGTAGTTTGCACCCTAAGACTGGGTAGAGGGGCTGCAGCACCCCCCTCTGCCCAAAGGGTGATATAGCAGACAGTGTTGAGAACCGTCAGGGTCCTTTGCATTTCTTTTTCAAACAAGTCCCTCCAAGATGCTGCTGCTGCTGCTGCTGCTGCTGCTGCTGCCACAGCCTCCTGCCATATATCCAGCGACAGCACTTTTTTATGAAGTTATGCAGAGGCGGAAAAGTATCAAACAACCAATCACTGAAGTGTAATTGCCGACACCAGAAGGGAAAAACCCCTCAGTGTTTGAGTCTCCTTTGAGCAGGAAAAGCATTTCTGTGGTGAAAAACAGACAACGTCCGTTATGTTGGCAAGAAGCTCTCCTCCACATTTCAGACTTGACAAACTCTTTTTTTGGAAAAATACAAAAAAAAAAAAAGAAAGGTGTGTACAAGTTTACATTGTGCAGTGCTGCATATGCATAACACCTTGACTGTCCTCTCAGCTGGACTGTGGCCTATCTGGACACAAGGTGTCCTGAGAATGTCCTTTAGTTTTAAAGAAGAAGGTTTGATCAGGCAGACGAGGACAGAGCGAGTGTAACTTCTCCCTGATGCCAAAGGCCATGCCAAGGAGAGTCAGGGTCAGACTGGAGGAGGGGAGCTGCCAAGGACAAGACCCTCCTCCAGGAGGTCAAGACAGAGTGTGTATTTTTTTTTTTCCTTTGGGTGCTTGGGGGTAAAATATTCAGGGATTGCTTGAAGGAGACTCAGCTCAGGGAGTTTTGGTTGCTCTTTTTTCCCCCCCTTTCGCAGACTCGGGTTTGGTGTGTGGAAAGGCTCTGAAAATCGTGTGCGGACATCTACAATGTGAAACAGTGACGACACACCAACGGTCAACAGGGGGCACTTGGGATTCCACGAGTCCCCGACATCTAAAGGCATGCTTAATGGGCAGAAATTTAACAGGTGCACAGAGGAACCGAAAGACTGCAGTAGAAGATACAAAGGACGGCACTGCGTGACAAAGAGACAGAGAAGGGAGTCCACCAGTGAGACGTTCTCCCTCTGGGTGGAGGTTTCACAGGGATCACAGAGGAGAGAGCACGGGAGGAGGAAAAAAAGGAGGTTTGCAGATAGGTCCAGTGTTACTATAAAAGAGACAAATGTTAGGTGTGCTGTGAGAGTGCTGAGGTTTTGGTTTTCCAAGACATGCTGCTGTGCTCTACTCCTCTAAGCACATGGGCAGGTTGACAAAAGTGAAGACGTTGTACTCTATCAGGATGGAGAAGCAGAGGAAAACGGCGTACAGGGCCAGGACATAGATGCCCAGTTTCTTATCCAGCCTCCACTTGTTCAAGTGGATCCCCAGAACCTGTATAAAAACAAGCAAACAAGGACGGTTAATCAAAAAAAAAAAAAAAAAAAGTTAATCAAAAATGTCCTGCTTCACTGACCAAGAGAATATTAAATCAGTCCAAACTCAGCCACCATAACGCCATTAAGTCTATGCCCAAAAAATGCACTTCTTCCAATTACTTCTGAACTCAAAATGTACTCACACACTAAAGCATTAATGGTGAGAAAATACTCTTCAAAAATACGAGTTTAACATATTAATAGGTAGAAATATTTTTGAGAGAACTTACTTCAAGACTTGGTACAGTGTCGAGTTCTTTTTCAGAAGATCGAGCAAAAACTGCTCTGGTGTGATCCTGAATGTAAACGCTCAGAGGCCGGCTGGTTTTTGTTTTGTTTTTTCTTTTTTTACGAGAACTGCATCAATAGTAAACATGTTATTGCTCTTTTATGACGTCTGTATCTCCATCCTTTCATTCCTCTTCATTATTATATTGCTTGTAAATCATTTTTAGCAGAGACGTAAAATAACACCAAACAATAATCACCACCAGGACTCAGTGGCTGACCTCAGCTCTGCCTGGTCTGTGACACAGGCTGATGTTAATCACCTTTTTGTAGTAGGTTAAATATTCTGGTTAAAACGGCAAATGTGAACTCCTCAGTGTAACTGTCAGTGCACAAATAAACGACAGGAGGCAATTAAAAAAAAAAACCATGGCAGTCTTTACAGCACTGACGCATCGCTGAGAATGATGGATGTTTAAGTCAACAAATGTCGGGAATATAAAGAAAAAAACAGGAATACATTACTTCAAATTGAAAAAGGATGAAAAGCCTTAGATAATGTGAAAGAAAAAAAAAACCTGAGAGTTTTTACAGTTTGACCCAGAAGAGTTAGTCTGTTGAACGACTCCTGACTCAGTCAGTAAAAATCTGCACGGCTGCTGCACAGCTTGAACACTTCTCAGTCTGAAAGTTTCTAAGACTAAACTGTGCAAAAACAATGGTGCAGTTGTACATTGTTATGAGGCAGTTACATAACCCGCCTCACTCACCCCTGCATTGCAGTGAATCTGTTACTGACGGCAGCAGCTAAATGTGGGATACAGATATTTATTCCTTATTCCTAATGTGCCCAGTATTGAACCTTTTACAGGTAAAAAAAAAGGACGTGACTCTGATGTAGTAACATCAAGAACACAAAGGTGGAGAAATGTCATCTGATACTCACTGTGAGGGCCACGGACCCCAACAGGAGCACCACAGAGTACAGCAGCCCCCGACTGTTAATCTTCACCTGAAACACAGAGCAAAAAGAACAAGTTTGAAGTAAAAAAAACAAAAATGCTTCTTTGTCTTATCAAAGGAAATCAAACTGTTCTTCAAGTGTCTTTCAGTTTCAGGGGAAAAAAACAAACAATTAAAACCTTTAAAATTGTAAAACTTCAAATTCACACCTCGTTAAAAAGATGATGGGTTCAAAAACCTAATCACATTTATTTCTTTCATTTATTGCAGTTTCCAAAAAAAAAAGAGTGACTGCTGCTGGACTTTTCTGGGTAAAATCCAGACACAGAAAGTCTGATGTACAGTATGGCAGAAAAAACTGATTTTTACCACTGATCCGTAGTTTATGCAAATGGTCTGCAAGGCCCAGGGAACCCCCAGGCCCACCAGGATGTCAAACACGTTGCTGCCAATGGTGTTGGAGACGGCCATGTCCCCGAGACCTGCAGCAGAGGACGGGGGGGGCAGGACGATGGCGGCGTGGTCGGTGGTCAAAGGTTCATTCCCCCCACATGTAGGAAACAACAATGCACTGTCTGACTGGAGCAAAGCTGCAAAAACACTGATGGAGCCTGACTGTCCCATTCTCCTGTGGCAGTTACCATGGCAACCAAGGTGAAAGATATCACAGACCAAGACTCCAGTGCAGGCACTGTCTGCCACAGACGGCCCTTGTGAATAAAAACACCGTATGTTCCTTATACGACGCAGAGAATGTGGTTTAAAATATTCTGATGCATGTGTGGGGAAAGGTTTCAAAGAAAGGCGTCCACCAGGAAACACACGGCAGTTCACCGTGAACTCCAACAGCTCATCCCTCTCTTCTGTCGGCGCCTCGAGCGTCAATAAAATCCTCTCCCTCCGACCTTCTCACTTCCATCACAGCTTCTTGAATTTCAGGTCAATTGCAGCTCTTTCTCTCTAACTTTGGGTTTTTCACATTTTGCTGTTCTGTGCGTTCCTGTATTCTCCAGGGCTCCAACCTTATTCGGCTGAGAGGGCAGTGACGCAGAGCAACACTCTAATATCTATAAACAGCTCCGCACCGACTTCTCATCTCTGGGTTTTTGTAGTACTTTTGTACTCAAGGGACTTTTGCACAGATTTTAAAAGAAGAGAAGAGTTTTTTTGAAAAGTACTGAGACCTTGTCGAGCCACGATGAGACTGGCTATGCAGTCGGGAACGCTGGTGCCTGCTGCCAGGAAAGTGATGCCCATGATGACGTCAGGGATTCCCAGGGTGTAGCCGATCACAGTCACCTGAGAGGGAGACACCGTGTCAGGGCTGACAGCTCTGGGGTGTGTTAGCAGAAACATTCCAGAAAAATCTTCATAACCCGAAAACGTGTGTTTCTTTCACACAAACTGTATCAGTGCATTCACAACGATTACAAAAATAGAAAAAGACAACATACATTTCCAAATGAACTAACTTCCTCATGAGAACTGAGAAATATATACGAGGCCAAGAGCCAATCAGGAGCTACGGTTGTTCGCTCAAGGCGGGGCTTATAAACAGAGATTTAATTTTAACAAGTGTTGTCCGTTAGTAGGATAATAGTTGGCTTTGTTAAACTATACATATTAATAAATTAAAATGTAAATGTTTGTGGAGTCAACGGTTGGTCCACTCACCATCCAGACCATCAGGTAGGAGAAGACTGCGATCCAGACTGTGGACAGGATGAAGGAAACCATGAAGTATTTCTCCCAGCGAGGTTTGGCACAGTTGGGCACGGTGAAGAACAGCAGCAGGAGCAGAGGCCATGAGATCAGCCACTTCACCTTACTGCCACAATTCTCTGCAGAAATGATAATTAAAAGAAAAAAAGATCAGACACTTGGATGTTTTTTTTTCCAGGTCCTTTGGCTTTTCTTCCCAGTTTTCCACAAACTCTTCTGGTTTATGTTTCTCACCAAAAACCTGTTCCATCTTTTCTTCTCCTCTGCTTCCTTTCAAGTCTAATATAATGCAACATGACTTGCCCCAGTGTTGGAGATGTTAAATCAGATTAATCAGGTTCAGATTCCTTTTGATTGATGAAAGAGCAGCTCCACTCTGTGCTGTCAAAGAGCATGATTATCAGTGGGAGTGTATGGATCCACTGACTTCATCTGAGTGGGAACATCAATAGCTGCTGAAGCAGAAATGCTCTCTGAACAGAGCTGCCCCGACCACCAAGTCCCATTCA